TGAAAAAGTTTGCCCTAATGGATTTTCTGTGGGTAGGTAGTCGTGGTTTCGCAGCTGATATGATTTAATATTTTCCCACGTTATGGATGAGTTACTGTAGCAGTGTTTCCTAATGACTTTGAAGAGTAGAAATAGGTTGCACTTCACTCTCCTTAACCACAGAGGCTCTAATTTCAGACGTACACACCTGTCAACATATTCCACTTGTTGGTCGAACCCTATTATGCGTTTCGTGAGGAATCTCTGGACACTTTCGATTTTTTTCTGTCTACAGTCCTGAGGTTACTAAATAGGAGAGCACAATATTCAAGTTTGGGACGGATACATGTCCTATATATAGCTAATCTTGCTTCTTGGGTGTAGAAGTTACGCAGTACAAAGCCAGTAAGTCGTTTACAGTCAGATACAACCTTGTTTGCATGATCGGAAAAGGATAAATCTGAGTATGTTATCCCGAGATCTGTGACTGTGTTCAGTTTTGAGAGGAGCTTACCGTACATATATAGGCACATTATCGGTTTCCAGCGTCCAAGGTGGGTTATACCGCACTTGTCTGGGTTGAAAGTCAGTTGCCACTTTTCGCTCCAATCGCCTAGATCATTTAAGTCTTGTTGGATCTTGCTTTCGACGCTCATATCACCGTACCCATAATCATATACTATCTTGAGATCATCTGCAAAAAGGTATGGCTTGCCATACTTGATTACAGAGACTATGTCATTTATAAATAAGAGGAATAGAATAGGGCCAAGAACACTACCTTGTATTACACCACTGGTTATCGGCTTTGAGGAAGACAACTGGTGGTTGATTTTGACTAATTGCTCTCTTTCTGTGAGAAAAGAACTTATCCATTTGTGAAGATTTCCGGTTATTCCGTAGGATTGGAGTTTTGTTAGGAGTCTGATATGTGGGACTTTATCGAAGGCCTTGCTAACGTCAAGAAACAATGTTGTTACCGAACGCCCATTATCAATGCTTTGTGTAATGTAGTCAAAATAATCTAAGTGGCAAGTAATGCACGACCTTCTACTTAAGAAACCGTATTGGGATGGGGATAGTAGGTCATTTGACAGCAAGTACTGAATGATTTGAGTCTTAACTATCTTTTCCATTACACGTGAAACTACAGACGTGATGTTGATGGGGCGGTAGTTGTTGATATCAGCTATAGGCCCGTATTTATGGATAGGTACAATATAAGACTTCTTCCAGCAGTTAGGGTATGTCCCATCGCTTAATGAAATTGAGTATAACTTGAGTAAGAGTAAACTCATGTCATTACCACCTTTTTTCAGCAGAACGGAAGATATACCGTCTGGGCCAGTAGTGTTACTAAGCTTAAGATTTGCGACAGCTTTATCGATCTCATGTGTGGTGAAAATTATGTCACTTAAACATTCGTCTGTTTTACGTGGGAAATCCACGACTTCATCGTTCTCTAAGGTGTATAATCTGGCGAAGTGCTTGCTAAACAGTTCACATATCGCCTCATTATTTTCGTAAGCAATGCCGTCTAAGTATATTATTTTCAGGTAAAGTTTTTTGGAGTTCGTCAACCTACTTTTAAAAAGTTTCGCTATTTCTTCTGGTTTATGAGGTGGCTGAATGGCCCGCATTTCTTTCCTTCTGAGGCTTATATTTTTCCACTCTTGAATTCTAGTGAGAACGGGACGTAATAGCAATTAATGATGATAGGCCATGATACCTGTAGTATTTTATTTAGTGCTTTCGTAGACTTCTCCTAAACGATGTCAGAATACAATCGCTTTGGGGGAATCTGAAGCTAAGAATCTTCTCAGGTGCAATGACGTCATGAACTGAGTTAATATTTTGATAAAAGTTGTTGAGAATTGCCTCCGAGGACTCCTTTGAAAGGTACCAGTCTCAGTTAGAACATCTGATTAGGTGCTGATACAAGTCCCAGTCAGCATGTGTGTGCAATCTCATATGTGTCTGGCCAGCTTCATCTCTGCGTTTTCTTTCAGGAAAGATGTCAAAAGAACAAACTACTATTCTATGGTCACTACCTGGAAATTCCTGTCCCACATGTAGTGTAGATGGCGTTATGTTGTTCGTGAAAATAAGGTCTAGGATATTTGCAGATCTAGCAATATGACTTTATGTGTTGTGTCCACCCTCCTGTGACGATGGAATTCAGGAGATTATCACACCTTTGGGGTCATCGGAGTGAAGACCATAATACTTCTGGCAAGTTGAAATCGCCTCCGATAATTTTATAACTGAAGTGAAGATTGGCTGTAACATTAAAGATATTGCTGAGCATATTATCACATTCCCTGATGGATGAAGGGGGCCGGTACACACAACCCACAAGTATAGGTTTACTTCTGACAACTTTTATTTCGACCCAGATCGAGTCATTGAGTTGTGACAGAATTGGGTTACTGAACTGGGTTGCACACATGGATTGTTGACAGTAAATTAGTGCTCCATCCCCACGAACTCTCTGTCTGTCCCCTCGAATAGGGCTGCAAGCAAACTGCCTACTTACGCAGAATTCCACTACTGCCTCGAAGCTGCAGATGGATCTTTTAGACATTAGCGCTCAGATAAATACCTGCTATGCACACCATTCACTTGTTTGTTAGCCAGGGCTCTTCAGAAACTGCAGTATTCGAGCTGTTTATGCAGTCAGGACGAAAATTAGACACTGTCTGACTCTTCAGCAGAACAAAAAGTAATTTCAGTTTCTAGGTAATCAACATTAGGATGAAGGTGGACTAAATATTTTTGAAACTTGATGTATCATAATATCAGAGGCGAACTTTGAAAAAGGAGTGAATTTTACACGCTCTCCTTTAATTTAGACTTTTGTTATATGCTCCAAAAGTCTATAGATTAACTTCAGATTAGTTGATGCCAATCGAATTTAGTTTTCTGTATAGTTTTGAGTCAATTTACGCATAGGAAGCATTTTTTTGTAATATTACAGTCATTATACATCCATTTTTGTACATGCATTGGTGTTTTTATCACTGGTTCATATAAAAATTATTCCTAAGGTCATATGTGCATCTTTTAGACCCAATTCACTCCGAAAAGTATGCCTACCAAAAGGAACGGCCGTGGAAGAGTTATGTATTAGTTCCCAGTTGAAGAAGGCATGCAGTGTGGTAACTGCAAGAGATGGTTTCACGACATGTGCACAAACTTGACCCTCGCAGCACACAAGTGATGCTGCAAAATTTTGGCTAACTGGCTATGCACTGACTGCTGCAGCACTATTACGTCCTGTACGAAAAAACCTTTGCAACCCTCAGCTGCGAATTACAGCTGCTGAACTGCAAAGGTCCCCCGCCACAGAAGAATACTGACTACCACTCAGACACCAATGACGTGGCTAGCGTCGTCGACAAGACTGTGCACGTCCCTGGCAAGACTGTACACGTCTCCGACGCGTCTCTATCAGTAAGTGAGTACCCTTCGGCACAGCAGAGCGTCCACTATCGTCCGGACACCCACTGTGCCCTACGATGCCCGATAGGCCATTCATGACCGTGGTGAAAAGGCCGACACGAAGAATAGGCATATCTGAGGTGAAGACACAAATGGGTTGTCATACCTATCTGCCTCAAGAAGTGCTTACTGTGAGTAGCATCGAGGCTCTCGCACACGAAATCGAAACATGCGAGCTTCTAATCCAAATACTTAAATGCATAGGCCAAGACATTGACCTCGTTGCCATGCACTGCGGCCGTAATTGCAGCGCATACAACTTCCTAGTCAAAATGCTAGGCTTCTGGACATCGAAACGTCTAAGTCTCATAGTCGGCGACTTCAACGTCCCAACAGTTGCCTGGACAAGCCTTACGACGTCATCTTCCGACTACTCCTTTTGTCGTAAACTGCTGGAATCTGGCACTTCGCTAACCCAGTCCAACATGCCATGAAACCCACACTCCATGACCCACAGCACTCCCATTCCGTCTTGAACCATAATTCTCCCCTGGTGAAGACGTGAACCTTCATCGCATAGGAAGAAGGGATCACACCTTGCTCAAATTTAAGTTCACTTCAGCAGTATCATGCGCCGAAACCCCAACTCGATCAAACTTTTGGAAAGCTGATATAAATGCGATCGTCTCAGCGGCCATCTCAGTGAAGTGGCACATCAACCTGGAGTCCCAAGAAGAAGCCGCAAGAAACCTGTCTAAGCAACTTTACGTCCATGTCACTGAGCCTTTTACCTCTCGGTCTGTCCAAGAAGGTCGGAAAAGCCGAAAGATTCGTAAATTACCGAGAAGTAAACCTGATTACCACACTTGAGATTCATGAGACCAGAAAGTCATACATTACTTGCAGGAACAAAACTATTGCAGAAATCCGTTAATCATGGATGAGTTTCAAAGGACAGCTGACTCATAATGAAACAGCACAACCTGAGAAAATTTTCTCATACATGAACTTCAGTAATCGGACATTCAATGGCATCTACTTATGTTAGCAGATGATGTGAAAAGAATGGATGAACAAATATTCAAGAGGTCTGAGCAGCGTTGAATTTAAAGAAACTTTTCTAACTTAAGCCTCAGTGAACAGGAGGTTTAGCTTAGATTTTGGTGTTCCCATTTGTAACATGAAATTTCACTAAATAGTGCAGTGTTGGACACTGATAGAGCATAACTCCATATTAGATTCAAGTCGTATTTACTGACAAACTTTAGAGTGCAGAATATGAGCAACTGATCCTATTTACAATATCCTCACAAATTTTCTGGTTAACATACTTCGAAACATCCATCAACATTGCATTTGTTTCTTCATATCACTTAGCAAATGCAGCCACTAAAGCGCTATGTTGGATTTAAAATGAACGCGGGAAGGTAGTTTTTCGTATGTCCAGATGGTTGCCTTACCAATGGTATATTTGTGGATACATTTAAAATATGAGTGGATATGCCCGTGGAATATAATAACTCACACTACTTTAAATTTATTTAACTAAATTACAACAGCTGTTTGGTCAATATAAATTAATGCAAGTTCAACTATTTCCTATTTTGTGTTTTGTAATACTATGGGACGTTCATTGCGCTGATGAGTCTGCACTACCTCGGAAACCTGTCTTTACTGAGTACCCAAGAGATGCTTTTCCCCTTCACCGCCAACAGCTGCGGTTGTTCTGTCGTGCTGAGGGTGAACCTTTTGTTTTGATCACCTGGTATAAAGATGGAAAGGTTGTTGAAACACAAAGGGACAAACCTGGGACTTCAAACAGAATCACGAAACCCGGTGAACTGCTTTTCCTTTCATTCAATGTGGAGGATGAAGGTCGGTATTATTGTAATGCATCAAATGTTCAAGGTTGGACCATATCTCCTTCTGCTCTAGTGAAAGCTGCATTTTTCGATATTAGTAAATCATCTGGTCCTGAAAGTAAGTCTGCTAATCTTGGCCAGACTGTTTTATTGGAATGCACTCCTCCTGTCGGACTGCCAGTACCTGTTGTTCACTGGAAGCATAATAACCAGAGAATTACTGATGGTCCTCGTACGAGAATAATGGAAAATGGGGCCTTAAGAATAGAATCTGCCAAGCGTCAGGATGCAGGAACTTATCAGTGTTTCGCCGACAACTCTGCCGGACATTGGGAAAGCAAGTCTGCTACGCTTACTCTTCGTCGCAAGCCTCGGTTTAGGTTTACTCCTATGAGCAAGCAAGCTGTTGTTGGAGATTCCGTAGAATTTCAATGCTTAGCTTCTGAGGACCCTAACTCTACAATTCTTTGGAGACGTGAGGGTAATAAAATTATACAGGCGTCGCTAATTGATAAAAAGACGTTGCGTATAGAAAATGTCCAGCTGTCGGACGCCGGAGACTACATTTGCGAGGCGAAAAATGTAGCTGGTAATGTTGAAGCTATCGCCCACTTATCTGTGATTTCACCACCAATTTTTGTGATAACACCCGAAGATAAAACGGTAGCACTTGGTAGTCGCGTTTCCTTTGATTGCTTGACCTCTGGTTCCCCGCCTCCCACTGTCAGGTGGTTGCATAACAAATATTCCTTTTGGGTACCCAAACCAAATGAAAAACCTATACAGACAGGTAGATTCCAGATATTTCCCAACGGAACTTTGATTATAAATTCAACTTTGCTATCTGATGTTGGATTATTTGAGTGTAAAGCTTCTCAAAAAGCTGGTATCGTCAAATCATCAGCTCAGTTATTTATTGAAACTCCTGGTATTATATCCCTTCCACTTATTGAAGTTGGACCTCAAAATCGGACACTGTATCAAGGCATGATTGCAAATTTACCGTGTCACTCGACTGTACTTCAGTATACTTTGCAAGCTTCACACTCATTGGTGCATTCAAATATTGATACGTTTACACCCATTGTAACACAGTGGTTTGTCAATGGTTCAGCTATTTCTTCTAACTCCAATCCCCGAGTTGTTATATTAAACTCTGGATCACTCCAGATTAATGCTCTGCGTGTTTCCGACACAGGCTCTTATACTTGTGAGGTTGAAATTCAAGATTTCTCTGTTTCTCCATTTTTACGGCGTTCTACATCGTGGACTGCCTCAATACAGGTTGTTCATGGTGGACAGTCGGAAGGTGGCGTGTATCTGTCCTCTGGAGAAGAAAATGAATTATTGTTACCTGATCCTCCGAAAGATGTTAAAGTCAAAAGTATAGGTGATACTTGGGTTTTATTGGATTTAATTGATGACCAGCTCAATGGACATATAATACACAAACGTGACCTGAATGCAGGTGTCTTTATAAGTGGTTTGAGAGTAGAAGTTGCGGAGTTCAACAGTTCCAGCGGATGGCGAATAATGGAGTTTACTGTTGCATCTGCTTCTATTCGTGTGAACGGTTTACTACCACAAACTGGTTATCATATTCTTGTACGCTACATCAATCGTTATGGAGTTGGTAGACCTCTCATTTTGAATAGATTGGTATTTACCAATAAGCCTGATTTAACCCGTAATTATTTACCAAATGAACTAGGCGTGAAGTTGCAGTCTGTGAGCTTTAGCCCTTTGCATATTCGTGCAATATCCCCGTCAGAATTGTTAGCAGAATGGTTTCTCTGTGGTTCATCGGATGTATTAGATTTAATCACTGGATTTAAAGCAACATATATGAGCGTACCACTGTCTAGATGTGTTACTTCAAATTCTAAAAATAATGGATTTTATATCAAGGAAAGTACTATTTCTTATGCGAATATGGATCCTAACTCATGTACTTATAAGGATGAATCTGTGGAAAATCTGTTGGATTCCTTTGAAGATGATCTTACTCCATGCAGTTTATTAAGAATTTCTAAGCAACATTCTCTTGATTGGAACCCACCCAATTTCCTCAATGGTGAGACTGTTAATTACTATATTCACTCAGGTGTAGGCAGCACAAGTGTAAAAATGGCAATTGGTAATCTACGTCCCTTCATGTGTTATGCTGTTCGTGTGGAGGCGTTTGTAGACCATTCTAGTCAAAGCAGAATTTTTGCTCAGAAAAGTCAAGTATCAGTGGCTCTGACACATGATAGCACACCGACAGGTGCACCACAAATTACAAATGTTCGTTGGCTGAGAAATGGGACTGTTCTACAATTAGATTGGAGTCCACCGAATGAATGGGAACGTGGAGGTATTCTCACGGGATACTCGTTGAGAATTTTAAGCACAACACCCAAACTTAGCCGTACTATCAATGTAAGTACTTTTTATTTCATGAAATGAGGTTACTCTTACTTTATGATAGAATATGTAAAGTTCTGTTCATGTCTTTTAATGTTTGTTAAGGGTGTTGCACGGTTAGAGGAAATTTTTATCTAATAAGGTGTAATTCGGTGCAAGAGTATGCTTAACATATGTCACATTGTCAGTGGATTAATGGACTTGGTCTTGTGCCCTTCTCGTGATTATTTTGAGCTTGTATCACAATCTCTGAGTCATTCTCGTTCTCTACGATGTATGTAGTGAATGAATGCCTTATTGGGTTTCGAATTTCTCTGAATTTGAAGTGGTTACATTTGGTTATGGGCCTGACTTCAAAACACCACAGCTAGACATAAGATTACAAGACATTAAAGTTGACTATCCAATTAAATAGCCTTTGTTTGTTGAACACTAATGGTATAATTTGTCTTATTATTATCTCATTCGTTTTGTTGTGAGTGGAACATCGGGTTTCAATAGCGTTTACGTTCTGTGGTGTGAGGCTGCTAGTTTCGCGCGTAATCTCTCCTATTTTCTAAGCTTACTTTCAGACAGTAAACCTCGCGGATCTTAGGTATGTGTCAGCTGGGAATCGGATCTGAACCACCAGTGTGATTGGCAAGCATTCGATTATTGAACCATAGACACAATATGTCTTGAGAGGAGCTAAACTGAGCAGAGAAAGTAGAGCTCAAGAGGGTGAAAGTAAAGATACCTGAGACGTATATTTATTTTCAACCTGGTTAGGTCATAATAGGAAACAATGTTCACTTTTATTAATTAGGCAGTTTTTCGTATGGTCCCATTCAGTGTCGTCATAACATTATGAGCAATCACTGTAGTTAAGGTACTGATTCGCTCAAGCAATCAAATAATCCCTTTAAACTGACTGACACTGACAGTCTGTATGTGCGTCGGTGGCACAGTGGTTAGGACTCTCGCCGACCATGCACATGGTCCGGGGTTCGAGCCCTCACCGACGCACACCTGATATCTATGATCGGCTTGCAAAATTTGGGCTACCGATATCCACGCTGAAAATTCCATACTTGTACCGAAAATACAGTGTGGAATCAAGCTGTAATCAAAAATAAATAAAAAAGTATACAGTTTAGATAGAAACTTTGATCGGACACTAGGTAGTGACTAGTGTTGTGTGTTTAGTCTTTTGTTTGGTGATGAGTAAATTCCACCAATCACATATCTAAAGTATCCAGTACAGTCCTGCAGAAGGTGTCAACCGCATGCCCGAATAGCTCGGTAGGGTGTCGTCTCTAACCGCAGAACTGCGTGGTGACACAGTTTCGAATCTTACAATAGAAGAATGAGTTCTTTCAAGCCTGCAGATATGCCTTACTGACATCGGTGAGTGCCAGCAAGCAGGAGACCGAGATCCATGATCCAAGGCTTCCTTCCAGTTGCCTCCAACACTAATTCTTTCATTATTATGGATATGTAACTGTAGAACCTGATAAAAAAGTTATCGAAAAGGATATCCCTTGTTCAATCATTAGTCTTTTGACATCTAATAATAATTCAAGAAATAGGGGATATCTATATTGTATTATCAGTAACTTCTTTTAAATTTTTATTATCTGATACAGACTCAATATTTTTTCTAAAACACACTATCTTGTTTTGATTTATACTTTTCCACAATTTAGTTGGGAATGGAACAGTTATCTTACCATATCTATAATCTTGATCCATGGTCCAATTTCACCCTTTACCTATCTGCGGTCACTTGTCATGGTGAAGGAGTACGATCACTACCTGTATATGTTTTTGCTTATCCAACCCGAGGTAATCTTCCAGAAATAGGTTTGCAATCATCTCAGAATCCTACAATGGAATTAGATCATTATGAATCTGGAAATATATTCCGAAAGATTATGTATGATGGAAGGAATTTGTACCCGGGAGCGTATGGATCACAAGTGCTTGGTGAACAAACAAATTCCAAACATACTGCCGCTCATGAAGAAAAGCTTAGTCTTACTAGAGAACCCTGGTTCATAGTTAGTGCAGTTATGTTCAGTGTACTTTGGGTGCTTATTTGTCTTGGTCTTATCATATGTGGACGACACAGAAGTGAACGTCAACGGCGTCGTCATGCTGGTTTGGATGTAATGGATGTGGAAATAATTGCTAAAAATGGACGTCTTGGTACTAGCGATTCTACTCATGCTGCAGGGGGCGCAATTTCACCTTCAATGTATATGGGTGGATATAATACGTCTACGGAAGCAGAAGGAACTCCGCTGACAATGGGTGAACCGCTTTCTGTAAATGCTGCTCTTTTATCTGATAGGAATCATACACCGAAACTGTGCAATTCTATATTTGGTGAAAAGTCATACGGTAATGGTCTTAATCGTACTATGAACACACCATATTCTGTATCTATGGCCAATGCATTTTCTATGCCATGTGATGGTAATATGCAGTCAGTTCCAGCTTATATGTCTCAGTATCCACTTGGTACTCAAATGTTGCCAATAGACAGTTTAAAGAATCATGCATACAACAATCCAGGTACAATGGTTCAAAATATGTCAACTGGTAGTGGTGTTCAAAGTAAGTTGAATAATAGAAGTAAATGTATTCGTTATTATTGTTTCATTTAATTCCTAGAGGAATATAGGGCTTCAGCCGCGCGTTTCCATTGCATTCGGTTCTGTGCTAGAGTTTTCACCTGACTTCAAGTCTGCCCACATGCTTTCATCTCCTCTTCACACGACCTCTTCCAACCCGCCACTTCCCTTTCGGGTTCCATTCAAGCAATGGCTTGTCTAGTGATGTCACTTGATGGTTTCCTCAGAGTATGTCCAGCCAGTCTACCTCCATTTCTTCCTGCATGAATATTTGTTGCACAATCGGTTCCTGGTTGGTTCATTCATTGCTAGAGATCCCTATTGCTGATCTTTTCTGGTCGGCCATCTGACCTTGAGTATTGAGCGAAGACAACTGTTAATGAAGGTCTATAGATTGTTTGAGGTGCTCTTTATGACGCGCTGGCCAAGTCTCTGATCCGTATAGTATCACTGACTGAATTCGCATTGGAGTTGAAAATCCGGATGTTATTTTTGATGCTCAGTGCTGTTGACCTCCATACAGGCTTGAGAGTAATGAAAGCTTGTCTTGCTTTCCCGATCCTCACTGCTTTGATATCCTTGTCAGTTCCGTGGGCCTGTAGTTGAAACGATGCTTCCCAGGTCGGTAGGTAGGTGAAGGAGGTTGTTTCTTTCAGATTCCTCCCATTTATGCTGGCTGATTGTTGTCTGCTGTTATTGCTGTTGGTGTTGGCCAGAAATTTTCATCACCTCTGTTTTCTCCATGTTCATCTGAAGTCCTATTTTTGATTCTTCTTTGGCCAACTTGTTGCTTTTCACTTGCATATCTTCCAGTTTGTGGGAAATCATACATATATCATTTTTTAATATGGAAAAATGTATTCGTTATCGGAATTTAATACCGCTACAGAGATTTATATTACAATTATTTATGTATGATATTTTGTTAAAAGATGAAAATGACTTCCAATGGGACCAGCCTAAGCATTTGAGTGTAAATTTCTCTGTGTTGTTGAGAGATCTGATAGTGATTTAGCGGGATAAGGAAGACCAGTTAGATTTCAGCCTAATTAGACTAAACTATGGTATTAATCCATGGAACTGTCGGTTATCTGGATGGTGGTCTCATCTCTACCCTCTTTTGTCTTGTAATTTTAAGATCTTGGATTATAAGATTTTTAAAGTTCAGTTTTTGACTGTCTTCAAATAGAAATGCATCATGTATTGAGAATGTCTACCTCTGGGAGGTTTTAAGTTTGTAAGTTTATGAACAAGAGCAAACGTATACAAAAGGCTCTTGCGTGGCACTTGCCAGCTTACGTCGTCTCTGGTACAGACATAGTATCCAGTTATGGATCAAAGGACATGCGCACTGCTTAGCAGTTCGCTGTATCCTCCTTTACGGCTATGCGATGTAGTGGCTATTGAAAATGTAGAATCTGGAAAGGCTACCTATCTGCGACTATAGGTGTCTGTGGTCTATCTTTAGTGTTATGTGGTATAACATTGAGATTAAGCTCAGTGTTAGGTAAAGAGGGACAGTCAGTAGATGAGATTTTGAAGCCACATTGGTTGCCTAGTCATCACCTTCCTTGAAGGGGAATGTTAACCGATATGGGATTAGATTGGAAAGAAGTTAGGGGTGGTCAAACCAAAACCTGTCATTAGTTCATGAATTCTTTGACAATAAGTTTGATCCAGGAAATTGGGAGGTGTAGATTACCTGGTTGGATGTCTTTGAAATCCTAAGAACCTGTGGTTTGAGACCATCAGTGATGTAACTGACCGACTGACTGACTGCTTTCAGTGTAGAACTTTACACAGATGTCCAGCACTTCCAGTTGCTACACTCCCTCCTTGTACCACACAAAGCAAGAAAAGAAACCAAAGACAGATTCAAAAGAGAGATAATAAACGGAAGAGTGAATGAGGCAAAAAGAATAGTAATATGTAAGAATAACAGAATTTTATCGGATATGATAAATCACAAAGAGTGAAAGCATCTGTGCCAGTCATTGAGAACAACGATTTTGAGCCATATCACCAATTGTCTCCAGTTGTCATTGGTTTTTATCATCCCGAGGAACCGAACCTGTGACGCAGTCAGACTACACCTCTCTACTTGCCAGCCTGGCTTAAACTAACTGTCGTGGATTTCATTGACTGATGAAGTTATGTTTTGGTTCGACCACCACTAGTTCTTTTTCAACCTGTCCCATCCAAAGTCAGCTAACATTGCCCGTTAAGGAAGGTGACGGATGGTTAGGTATGCGTAACATCATGTCCTAACCATCTTAATCGGTGTAACTCCACAACCTCGTCGATTAGTTTCCCCTCCTCACCTAGCACTAGATCAACGCCTAAATTCAATATTGCTCACCTTACTATACCACTTAACAATCAGTGATATGGCTCAAAAGTGTTCTCAATGGCTGAAATGTACTAACTCTATGTGATACTCCATATCCGTCAAGTCGTCATGTTTTTTCATGTAACTATTCTGCCTCCCTCAAATTTCTGCATATTATCATCCTTTTGGATCTCTTTTCTCTCTCTCTCTCTCTCTTTCGTCTACCTTTGTATGCTACATGAAGTGTGGTAACTGGAACTGCCACACTTCTGTGTTAAGTCGTAAGTTCGAAACTCAGTCAGTCAATTCCCCCAAAACAATTGTAGGAATTAACAGCTGAATGAGCCGTATACTCTTTCAACAAATTAATTGATGGATTTGAGTGCATGTAATAATCGTTTACTTCAGGTTCATGTCTCTGATTTAAAAACAATTACTAGTTATCATAACATTTCTCCTAGACAGAACTGTTTCTTTATTTCTGTACATTACCAGTGGAATATAGGACTTCAAGCGCTAGAGCCTTGAAGTTTCTGTAGCAGTGTTTATTTGTACAGGGTAGGTTTGTTAGCCTCATGCCCAACCTTTCCTCTTTACCAGCTTTATTTCTAGTTTAGCGAGGTAAAGGAGTGCGTCAGTGGCCGGGGATCGAATCCTGAACCATGTTCATGGTCGACGAGCGTCCTAACCGCTGTACCACCGACACACGCAGACAAAACTGTTAGTGTATTATTATTAAGAGTTAAAAAAAAATCACAGCGACTTTCAAACCAAAATTCAATTTTTCACATGTACTCAGAAGTGTCACTTGTTTTTTTTTCAAACATGTGTGCTTTACATTATCGCTGGGATAAATTATTTCATACAAGTTTTCATAGATCTATAGTTAGCGATAGACGACTTCAATTTTAATGTTATGGGTTTTGTTTTTCAATAATGCTATGGATCTACCTCCTCTTTTATGGCTGGCTGTAAAACATGGCCATTGAAAGTGGAAAACATGAAAGGTTGACTAGATGTCTTTGAACATAGTTGTCTTCGTTCTGTCTTCCGTGTTAAGTGGTATAATAAGGTGAGCAATATTAAGGTTAGGCATCGGTCGAGTGCTAGGTAAGGAGGAGAAATCAGTCGACGAGGGTGTGAAATTACATTGATTGAGGATGTGTTACGCATGCTAGCTTAGCCACCGTCTTCTTCAACGGGCTTTGTTAGCTGATATGGGATCGATCAGGTTTGAAAAGAGTTAGCTAATGGTGGTTAAAACATGGTCTCATTAGTCAGTGAAATCTACAACAGTTAGTTTAAGCCAGGCTGGCAAGTAGAGAGGTGTAGTCTGACTGCGTCACAGGTTCGGTTCCTCGGGATGATAAAAACCAATGACAACTGGAGACAATTGGTAATATGGCTCAAAACCATTGTTCTCAATGACTGGCACAGATGCTTTCACTCTTTGTGATTTATCATATCCAATAAAATTCTGTTATTCTTACATATTACTATTCTTTTTGCCTCATTAACTCTTCTGTTTATTATCTCCCTTTTGAATCTGTCTTTGGTTTCTTTTCTTGCTTTGTGTGGTACAAGGAGGGAGTGTAGCAACTGGAAGTGCTGGACATCTGTGCAAAGTTCTACGTTGGCACCAGTCAGTCATCTGAAACACGTCATTTTGAAGCGTATTAATTCTTTGCTGTTCTTTTAAGTATCCTTTTTTGTCTAAGGGCATATATGTGAATGCATATCTTCTGTCTGGTATGATATTTTGAAGATGTTAGGAATAAATCATTGGCACCTCTTGATGACGCTGCTTAAAATTGTCGTTGGGACTTTGAGTACCTTCAATATTCTTTGAGTCATTTTCTCTGTTAATGTATTGAAGTATTGCTCTGTTTGTAACTTTCTTTGTTTTGAAGTGGGGCACTATGCTACCTATCTTCTGTCCCTTCATGAGACAACTAGTATGTTAGGGCCAGTTAATATTTCATATTTATTTCACAAGATGAACTTTACCTCGTGAATTTCACATATGGCCCAGGTAGATGTTTCGTTTTAGCCCAGATACGTATTTGTATTTTCTGTAGTCAGGGTGTTGTTCAATCAATGTAGCTATTCTTTGTCTTACCTGTTAACTGATCCTGTTCCCAGCTTAATATACATAAACAGATGTATGTACTTACTGGATAAGTTACATTATCTCTCGTAAATTTTATTTACCTCTGGTGGAGAGTCTTAGCCGGAAACTTCTGAATCAGTCGGACTGTACGAGGCTCCACATTTCATATGATTAGTGAGTCCATCAAATGGCTGTAACCCACTGTTTTGTACTTCAATGTCAGAGTAGAATTTGGGCACTATGCTGAAATATAATTCCGTATTAAACACCTTTATTTGATATAACAGAGTGATGCAGTATGAATAACCTTTCGAGCATAATATACTATTCATAATGATATCAGTATATTCACATGACTTGACAACTTGCTTTATGTAGTCTTACCCCTTACTGTCTGTTTATTACAACTTTCCATATATCTGGGATGTGTGTTGCATCATTTTGATTGCATGTGTTTGGTGTTGACTCAGTGAACAAAGACTCAGTAACTTACCTCTCTCTCTCTCTCTCCACCTAACTACACAGCTTTCTCATACTCTACCTACCGTATTCCACCGTATCATATGATTACATGCAGATAAATGCATTGTGATAAGCGACGTTCTTTCCAGACGACTTAGTTTCTAAGGGTCAATACTTCTCTCTGTAGCTAAATCCTTATACTCCTATAGTCTGGTTGATCCTAGTCTGCTAGTTTCACCTATTCAACTGGCCTAACATTCATTACATTTTTATGGCACTCAACAGGTTATATTATTTTTCCTAATTAGGTCTACCGGATATCTAAATCGATAAAGTTTGTCTTTGAGTAAGTTGGTTGATTGGTGTAAATGCCACCCTATTTTCAACCTTGTGATGTTCTTTTATGTCGCAGTATTGTTCAGGCATTGGATTCCTTCACCGATTTCGCGTGAGATCGTTTAAAGTCTAAATATCTGCTTGAATGTTACAGCTTTGTATTGATGCCTGCCCACCATCATGTTTTCCTTTTATTTTTAGGTCTTATTTGTTCCTTTACGTTCCCATTGGAACACATTGCTTCAAGCTAGAGCTTTGAAGCTTCGGTAGCAGTGGTGTGTATTTTTACGGGGTGGGAATCCTGGTCTCATGCCCAACCTTCCTTCTTTATTACTGGTTTAGTGAGGTAAAGGAGTTCGTCGGCCGGCGATCGAACCCCGGACCATCTGATTGGTCAGGGAGCATTCTACTGCTGTGCCACCGACGGAGTGTAGAATAACTAAATTATTCTGTTCATTTTTCGGCTCGAAAGTGAATTGGATTCTATCGAATGCGTGTGTGAAAAACTTGGAGGTTTGTTCAAAATTGAGCTCAATGGATGGGTCATCCACATATCCCCACCATAAGTCAGCAGTATGAATAAATGGTCTAAGATCTTTGTCTTCCTAACTAACCATAAATATGTCCATTACTATTACTAGGGGCATTATTATTCTTATTATTGAAATACGCCATATAATGATCGCCAAGAGATGCTGCACATAGTTTGTGCGAGGGTCGGTTTACTGCCTTGATGCCCAGATCGAAACAGGTAGTTGTCTTAAGGGGTTAGCCCCCAGCTGTTGACTTGAAGTCTGAGCAACAAAATTTCGGGACAGTATCAGGAGCGATGTTGTCATGACTGTCAATGACTCAAATAGTTTCCTACGCCATTGAATCCTTTCGGATGCTGCGGTCCATGTGCGCATAGCATAGGTTTGGAATCAGGATCTTCCAACTTCCTTAGGTAGGCCTGGGTGTCCACCAGTCCGGTCATAAGGGCTAGACTTTCGCAATTGCTGTTTCAATTTTGTGAGGAACGCTTGGGGTATTGACAATCTCATTGCCATTTTTGATTTGAGTACTCTTTGACATTTTGAAGGCTTTCAAAAAGTCAAAGATAGGGATAGACAAAACGACGAAAACTTGGAAAGCCTAACCTGACAAAACCAGTGAGAGAAGCCCTGAAACCCCCTTAATAGTAGTAACAAGGATATAGTAATCACAAAGTCAGACAAAGGAAATACAACAGTATTATTAGACAAATTAGACTATTTGGACAAGGTAAATACTCACATACAAATCGGGTCGTATGAGGAAATTAATAAATCAATAGACACATTTATGAATAAAGTTAAGAAATCCACAGCGGACCTTATACACCGAATGAAGCCACTTCTAGGTGAGTCTAAGTGGTTTAATTTAAATGCCCGAAACCAATAACTCCAGTAGTATGTATGGTGTTGTTAAAGTTCATAAGTCAGGATACCTTATTAGACCTATAGTTGATTTTAGAAATTCACCTGTTTATGAATTGTCTAAGTATTTAGTGATGGTATTAAATCCCCTTAAAAGCCATTCAAAATCATCAAGACTAACAAATTTTTATGAACTAAAACATATATACGATAATTTAAAATTAAATAATGAGGAAAAAGTGGTTAGTTTTTACGTTGTCAGTTTATATACACATGTGCTGATAATAAATATGGCTATAGAGTCAGTCAGAAACGAACTCATTTCTGACCAAGAACTTGAACAGAACGAACGAAAGTACCACTGGAGACCATAATGTTCGGAATGCAGCTATGTCTGACTTCCACTGTATTTAAATTCGAGGGGAAAATATACAAACAAACCGAGGGAGTTATCATGGTGTCACCAATATCCTCAATTGTGGCAGATATATTCATGGATAGGTGGGAAAAGCTATGTGATTGAAACGTTCAGCCCCACCCCCAAAAGAATGATGGAGGTATGTAGATGACGCATGCACTGTTACTTAGAGCATAGGGTATAAATAAATCTCATTGCCACCTTATTTAGAGAAGGCATATACTCACATGCAAATAGGATCATATGAGGAAATTAATAAATCAATAGACACAGTTGTGAATAACGTTAAGAAATCCACAGCGGGCCTTATGTGTGAGTCTTTGGTACAGTGGTTAGGATTCTCGCCAACCATGCACATGGTCCGGGGTTCGATTCCCTGCCTACGGACACTAGATATCAATGGTCGGCCTGCGAAATTTGGGCTACCGATATCGCATGCTGAGAATTCCATACTTGTACCAAAAAATATACGGTGTGGAATCAAGCTGTAATCAAAAATAAAAAAAATTCGTTTGCAGATTTTAATTTTGAAATTTGAATACACAGTAGGGGTTAGATATAAATTGTATGCCTAATAATTGTTATATATTATTTATTATTATTTCTTTTAATTCCTAGAGGAACATAAGGCTGCACGTCGCCATCGCGTTCGGTTCTCTGCTAAAGTTTTCACCTGACTCCAAGTCTGCCCACATACTTTCATCTCCTCTTCACATGACCTCCTCCTCCATGTCACCCTCGCATTAACGACCAACTTGCCACTTCTTGTTTGGGTTTCACTCGAGCGATGGCCTGTCATGGTTGATGGTTTGTTTTCTCAGAATATGGCCAGTCCACCTCCATTTCTTCCTGCTTATTTCTCCACAATCGGTTCCTGGTTGGTTCACTCATTTCCAGAGATCCCTGTTTTTGATCTTTTCTTGCCAGCCATCTGATCTTGAGTAGTATCGAGCGAAGACAGCTATTAATGAAGGTTTGTAGTTTTTTTGAGGTGCTCTTCATGACGCGCTGGCCAAGTCTCTGATCCGTATAGTATCACTGACTGAATTCGCATTGGAGTTGAAAATCCGGATGTTATTTTTGATTCTGAGTGCTGTTGACCTCCATACAGACTTGAGAGTAATGAAAGCTTGTCTTGCTTTCCCGATCCTCACTGCTTTGATATCCTTGTCAGTTTTGTGGGTCTGTAGTCGAAACGATGCTTAATAATATTATTTCATTAATCGAGATCTTACTTCTGTTTTTGAGTTCAGGGTCAATGACTCTAGCTGCTTTGAAAGTTTTTACATTAAGATTATTCTTTGATTTACTTATTCAGTAGTAATATCAACATTAATTAACTTGAAAAATTTGTTTCTTTTTTGTTTAAAGTGTTGCCCAGTGGTACACATTGTCCACCAGAACTTTTACCACCAGGCAATACAGCTCCTATGCTACCAAATGGTTGTTTACCTTTATCTGCAAATCAAGGTACACGTACAGTTGATTTACCGTCAGAAGATCATGCCACACCGTATGCTAGTGTATCAGTCATACAACAAATGGTATTCGATCATCCTATGCCAATGGAGTATTCTGCTGTTGTACAACAAAGTCGTGGTAATAATAATCAACAACAACAACTTTCACTGGCTGAAATTATCCCTCCACCACCAGACTATCCGCCTCCTTCACTTCCCACATCTTTCTCTCCACCGGTTTTAAATCATTTTACAAGTTGGTCACTCGGTGAAGCACCGTGTTCTGGTAGTGGTGAAGATTCAGCCTATAGTGATTTTCAACAGTCATCACAACATCAAGGTGGTTGTGGTCCGCCTTTGTCAAATCATCACAATTGGTTAACAACTTCACAACCTGATAGTAATAGTATTCTACCGACGACATCATCACATTCTCTATCAAAAACAAGTGGATTATCCTCTGAATGGCCTAATCAAGAAGGCTTATCAACACCTCATTCCACAGATCAACATATGTTTGGTAAGTCACTTTTTTTTCCAGGCAAAAAGTAGCCCGTTGTGTTACTAACTGATTTCTTACCCTGGGGGGTGGGTTATCTGAAACAAGTAAAATTGGTGTGTTGCGTTGACTGAAGAACCCAAGGAACAGCTGCATGAAACCAACTGGGGTTAATCTTTTCTAACTACCCTTTTTCCGGTTTTCATAGAGGAAAGGGTAGCATAGCTGGCTTGTTGGTCATCTAAGGGAGACACCTTACTGCTCTTATAATCCTATTTGGTCAGCATTACGACTTCACTTAGCTTAGTGTAAACGAATTGCATTATTGTTGATATTAGGTGATGGTTGGAGAGAATCTCCAAGATGCCTTGCTTGGACCTAAGTTTCGTGCTTGTTGACACTCACCAATGTTAGCAAGGCATATCTCCAACGGTGAAGAAACTCATATCCCCGTTGTGACATTCTAAGCGGTGTCACTCAGTTGTAGCAGTTAGAGATGTTACCATTGATCTATTCATGCATGCGACTGACTGGCTTCTTGTAGGACTGTATTGGATACTTCGATTGAACACTGTGTAGTAGGCAATACTCGTATCATGCGTTTAGTCCTTTATTTTGGTGCAGAGTTTATTCTTCCAGTCGTTTGCAATATGGCCACAGTGGTAGGTAGTGGTGGTGCTACTAGGTACATTCTGAATTGTGGTTTTTAGATGGTTGGAGGTAATCAGCAGGGAGCTTTGAATTCAGTCTACACCAAGCCCGACCGATAGCTGCTACCTTGATGTGGTTGTCGGGCGTGCATATCGCGATGACTCAACAAGCTGCACTGGCTGGAGCCAATGTTCCCGCAGGTCCTACCATACCAGGAAGGTTGTTAGGATAGCGATTAGACTAATAGCAGTTACTACCGGCATCGTGTAAAAATCTTTCTTACACTATGCTGGGGGTTTGAGGTTCAAGTCGTACTGCTGGGGAACAGGGATTTAACAGTAGTGAGGTGTTTCCTTCAGATGACAAGCATGCCAGCTATGCTGTCTCTCCACTCCGGAGAGAAGGGGTTAGAAAAAGTCGACCCCAAAAATTGTACATCCCGTTTTACCCTACGTTGGTCCGTAACCGGTGGTAAGTTTACTAATACGGAACCAATCCCAGAAACCAGTTCATACCAGCCGTGTGTGACCGGCTTCAAGCAGTTGTCTCCTGGGCTCTGCGGTCACCCAACACTTCCTGTTTCAGGTACCCGAAGAATCAATCAACTTCCACGGTGTGGCAGCCGGGAAGTAACGACTGCCCACGCACTTCCAAAAGCACAAGCCAGTCTACACCAAACAAAGGACTAGATGCATGATGCTAGTTAATTTCTATTTTTTTCAGTGTTCGGTCGAAAAATTGCATTATTTGACAGTAACTGCTTTTAATCTAATCGGTGTCTAAATGAAGTTTTTGGCATTGGTAAAACCTGTGAGATAATTAGTTTTTAGTCAGTATAATTCGTTGAATCATTGGAGATTATGCAGGCCCAACCACCATTATGTTAAGGTAACAGCTATACACTGGAAGAAGCTTATAAAATTTCCAAATAGTTTCCTCAGATTTTATTTAATTCACTTTGAACTTTCCCGTTGATTGGTTGATTGCATCGAAGTGCTGAAACCTCCAGCCGACATGTCCGCTCCTTGTGCGGATTCTTCGATGGTGTCTGAGGATTTAAGCTGAAGTAACTTGGCGGATGATGACTAGCAGTTGAATCCAAGATGTGAATTTCGTCCTATTTTAGATAGGACTCGTCAGCAAGTGGATGTACCTGAATTCCCCAGTGAGTCAGTAATGGATGTTCGCATTGAGACTCGAACACTTCGGTCCAGTCAATCAACCAGAAAGTGCAGATTGAATTAAATAATAACTGACATACCTGTTGCACCAAAGGTGGCTCTTGTGGTCCAAGTGGTCTTGTGGATAAAGCTTTGATGGTTTAAAACGATGGGTACTGGGTTCGAACCTCAATGAGAACAACATCATTTACTCCCTGGGGAATGCAGATACATCCAGTTAGCTGACGACTCTCACCAAACAGGATGAAATGCGCGTTATCCTGGTGGATTCCACTGCTAGTCATCACCAGGTCGAATTGTCTCAGATGTTTTGAATGCTGGAATTTCGAGTTAATTTGAATTGTATAATAAGACTACTTTTTATTACTATTACTACTACTACTACTACCGTGAGAAGTCATAAAATCAATAATGTAGCCACCCCATCCCCCTTGTTCTCCTGTTGATGAAGTCTGGTTCGTCATATCTTTGTTTGAATTAATTAAAAATAATTGACTGGGTTTTTCATTTTCTTCCCCTTATTATTGACTTGTTACAATGAGACATAAATATATGTAGGTTGATCATATTTCGAATGCAAGTCACACATACACACACACCACACAGAGTGTCTAAAACATACCTCATACCACTAATCTCGTTTACGCTGAATTCATTTTTATGCACATAAGCTTTTTAGTTGACCTAATAAACAACACAACAAGAGGAGACAAAGGTCACTATTACCTTTTTCTTATGATGGCTATCACAATTGGTATGTCGTCGCTGTTTTGAAGTCGTCTATATCCATTCAAGCAATCAATATATATATATATATATATATATATGCGTATATGTATACGTATCCATAGATAGACAGTAGGAAAACGGAAAAAAACACATTCACATTAAAATTTTCAAGCAGCAGAGAAAGAAGAAAAAGCAGCTATTCCTTTTTTTTCTCAACTGTGAATTTTATGTCGCTGAAGTATCTATCCTTCATAACTTAAATAAAATTCAAGTGAACATTTATGAAGCTAAACAAAGTTTGTCTACATTCCACTAGAGATGTAGTTACGAACGGATATAAGATATATATAGAGAGAGTCATGGAAAACCAAATAGGGACTGGACAGACGTTTTCTCATGGTTTGTGGGACTCTTCAAAAATACACACGCATGACTTTATCAGGGATAGAGTCAAAAACCTGTTACTTACAGGCAATGTATTGGAATCTAGTGATGCATTGATTGTAGCTCCTGTCGGTTTACAATAAAATACCACTTACTGGCAGTCGATTGCGTTGGTGAACATTCTCTTCACACCCATCGGATTTCAGGGGGATATTCATCCTGGAGTTACCAGGGGGCATGTGGTTTTCGAGTTTGTGTGGGTTCTGATCAATTTCTAAATTCCACAGTCTACGTTTAGAAAAATATATCTATATTTATATAATTATAGCCGCTTAAAGGTCTCCATTGAGTTATATGAAGAAGAGAGAAGAGCAGAGACTCTTTTCGTCGAATTTACTTACAAATCTGTACAATCTCATTTATGTATAATTATTTGTGTGTGTACATGAGGTTTGTCAAGTTTAGATAATTAATTAAGTAATACAAGAATGATCTAATATAGAAACAAGGTTGATTAGACAGCAACTAAAGTAAGATTGATTTAGTAAGATAGATGACGTAATATAATTGACTGAAATGTTTCAGCTTAGCTCAGGGCAGCAACAGAGGTAATTACAAGTAGAGACTGAGTAGAGATGGGGTATAAAATAATGCTATTTAAATTAGGAGTAAAATTGAGCAAATAAATTGGATGATGTAACATAAATGACTAGAAACTGAGCGTTGTTCAAGTCAGTAACAGTGTTAATGAAAAAGACAAAATAACACTAATGAGGAGATAGAAAGAAAGAAATAGAATTTACCTGTTGGGTATTAAGATAGATTATGTCCATTGCAGGTGTAGTGATTTAAAAAACTTCTGTATGCAGAGTTCAGGACTTAGCAAGTGAATTGCCATTGCTTTTGCAGTTTGAAGAAGTTTGATTCGTCCACTTTTAGGAAGACTGCTTCGTATTCTGTAGACGACTGTGAAGTGTGTTTGAGGTGTAGCTTGGTGTCCGGAATCTATAAGATGTTTTAAGATAGAGCTGAGGGGGCATCGTTTTACTCCTTTGTAAAACCATGTTGGTAAGTGTTCAGTGATACGTTTGTGGAAAGTGAACACTGGGTACGGCCGATATACCTGGTTCCACACAAGTAAGTGAATTGGTAGATACACATTGATGGGGCCAGCAGTGGTAGCTTATCCTTCACGTTCATACAAATCATTGGTTTCGTGGAGAAGGTTAATTGTAGTCCAGCTGCGAAGAATGTTTTCTTAAGTGAACGGGACAGTCGATTTTTCACTGTTTCCACACTCATCAGGGAAACGGGTGGGAGAAGACAAATCATTAGTGAGACAATCTCGGAAAAAAATGGCACTATAATTAGCTCCAGGATAGACGACTGGATCGTTGGAAAGAGCATTATGAGGAGCAGTTTAATTTGCCCACAGCCACGCTCAACCTTCCGAGCATCCAACACCTCCCTGAATGGGATATAGACACAGGTCCTCCGTCACTAACTGAGGTTACTAAAGCTGTCACCAATCTGAAACTAGGCAAAGCAGCGGGACCTGATGGAATGACTCCAGAGGTATTTAAGTACGGTGGAGACAGCTTACTGTCCGGATTAACTGAGGTACTAGGCAGCGTCTGGGAATCAGAAGAAGTCCCATCGGGTTGGTGTAAGTCACTGATTATCCCCATATACAAGAAGGGAGACAAGTCTTCCTGTGATAATCACAGAGGGATTAGCTTGACTAATATAGTATCTAAAGTCTTAGGCTCAATAATCATGCGTAGACTGAGTGGTGCTCGGGAAGCACAAACACGAGAGAGCCAGGCAGGCTTTAGACCAGGAAGAGGGTGTATTGATCATATCTTCACCCTCCGACAGATTCTAGAACATAGGCATTCCTACCGGCGTCCAACAGTCATTATATTTCTTGACCTAAAGGCAGCATTCGACTCTGTCGATCGGGAAGTTCTCTGGAGATGCTTGGCTGTAAAGGGAATTCCAAGAAAATATATTGCACTGATTAAGGCACTCTATTCGTACTCATACAGCCAGGTGAGGGCTTACGGCGAGCTGTCATCTGAACTGATGACGACCAGTGGTGTCCGTCAAGGATGCCCATTATCTCCTTTTCTATTCAACTTCATCATAGATGTGTTAATGGACTTAACCCTAGGTGACTTCAGCGACTCAGGAATTGACTTGCTACCGGGGAATAATCTCGTTGACTTGGAATATGCAGACGATATAGTCCTTCTAGGCGAAGACGCTGACGAAATGCAGAGTCTTCTAAACACCTTGAACAGCAATCTACGAATGTTTGGCATGCGATTCGCTCCCGCCAAATGCAAGATGATGTTACAGGACTGGACTACATCGACGCCTAGTTTAAAAATAGGAAGTGAAGTGGTAGAGCACGTTGACCGCTTCACTTATTTGGGAAGTACCATCAGCCCCAACGGGCTGATCTCTGACGAAATCTCAGCACGAATACAAGGGGCTCGTTTCGCATTTGTTAGTTTACGCCGACTCTGGCGTAGACGAGATGTTCGACTATCGACCAAAGGGCGGGTGTACTGCTCATCAGTCCGCTCCGTCCTCCTTTATGGTTGTGAGACCTGGCCACTGAGAGTGGAAGACATGAAAAGACTAGCTGTCTTTGATCATAGGTGCCTGCGTTCTATTTCCCGTGTAAAGTGGCATAATAAGGTGAGCAACATGGAGGTTAGGCGTAGAGTTCTAGGTAAACAGGGGAAATCAATCGACGAAGTCGTGAAGCTACAAAGACTGAGATGGTTAGGACATGTGTTACGTATGCCAAGCCATCGCCTCCCTCGACGAGCAATGTTAGCGGATATAGGGTCAGGCTGGAAAAAAGCTAGCGGCGGTCAAACAAAAACTTGGCATCAGTCAATGAAATCCACAACAGTTGGTCTAAGCCACGTAGAAAGGTGTAGACTTCCAGGCTGGGGTCCTCGGGACGGTAAAAATCTATGGTTGGAAACAATTGGTGACATGGCTCAAAATCGTTCTCAGTGGCGCAGATGCATCCACTCCCTGTGACTTATGATCTTCAATGAAACTGTTTTGTATTTCTTTATTACTCCTTTGTCTCACACCTCTGCTCACTGTTTCTATTATGCTTTTCTTGTACTTTCTTCTCTTGCTTCGCGTGCTACACGGAATGTGGCGACTTGAACTTCCGCACATTTGTGCAAAGTTCTATGTCGAAAACAGACAGACAGACAGTTGAATTGAAAGTTGATGTAGAGGAGTTGTTCCGTTACGCTAAGCGTGGGCGGCTTTTGCAGTTTAGGATTTATGGATTTTGCAATAAATCGTTCTGGATAACAATTCTTGATGAGGATTCTCTTGAGATTGTCCAGTTCGTTTTCTATGGTATTCGGGGATGCAGATTATTTATATATAATTATCATGAGAAATGAAAACTAATAACTGTGATAGCCTTATTCTGAGAAATGGGTTTATACACAGCATACACTTTTGAGCTAGAGTTCCTTATTACACGGTATTCACTCCTTATGCAGAATGTTTAATTAATGTGATAAACGTTAATGTATCATTTGAAGGATTATTGTTTTATTCGAGGCGTGTTCCAATAATTCATAATGTTTCTCCTTGATTTCCGTCCGAAAATTGTTATATCAATAGATTGTAACCTATGCAGATATATATCATCATCGAGGAAAGCACGGAATGGCAATCAAACGTCTACCTCAACTTTATAGACTGTGAGAAGGCCTTCGACAGCGTTGACCGAGAAGTAACTTGGAAACTACTCGAGTACTACGGCCTATCCCAGATATTCATCAACCTTATTCAACAGCTGTACGACAACGGAACATGTCAAGTGATCCACAAAGGAAAACTAAGCGAGGCGTTTGGAGTAAACACAGGAGTCAGACAAGGCTGCCTGCCTATTATCACCAATGATATTCCTAATTGTGGTGGACTAGATTATGCGTCAGACAGTGAGTGGGAAACGAGCAGACAGGGATATCCTGGACCGACCGACGTGAAGAACCTAGAAGACCTGGATTTCGCGCCTGAATGATTTATGTTTGATGTCACACAAAATCGAAGACTTACAAGCGAAAACCGACAAACTGGTTGAAGAAGCAGCTGGCGAAGACAGGACTCCATGTGAACATAGACAAGACGGAGGTTATGAAAATAACCAACCAACAACAACAACAGCACCAACATCCGGCGCCAATCACCATCAACGGGAGGGATTCGAAAGAGGTTACTTCATTCACTTCACTTATCTAGCATTGAGCATTGTCTCAACTACAGGAAGTCGGAACGGACGAGGTTGTCAAATCGAGCGAGAATCGGGAAGGTAAGAAACACATTCATCAATCTGAAACCAATCTGGAAATCTTCGTCGCTCAGCCACCATCAACAACGAAATTCGGCCGGATTTTCAATACAAACAGCGTCAAGTCAGTTCTTCTATACGGGCGCGTCACAAAGAATATTTCCAACAGCCTGTTGCAGACCTTTATCAACCAACAACTGTCTTCGCTCTATACTGAAGATCAGATGGCCGGGCCGTAAGGAATCACCAACAAGAAACTATGGGAACAAACAAAACAAGAACCAATCGCCAACCAACAAATATGCAGGAGAGGGGAGATGGATTGAACACTCGCTGAGGAGGCCGCCGCTGGGTGACATCGCGCGTCGGGCCATTGCTTGAGTGGAACCCGAAAGGGAAGCGGCGAGTTGGTCGTCAGTGCAAGAGTGACATGGAGGAGATCATGTGAAGAGGAGTTGAAACAGTATGGATTAACATGGATGTGTGCAGGTGAAAACTACAGCAGAGGACAGAAGCAAGTGGAGACGTGCAGTTGAAGCCCTATGTTCCACTAGGTACCCTATGGAACAATAATAATACAATTATATATATATATATATATATATATATATATATATATATATATATATATATATATATATATATATATATATATATATATATATATACCAGAGTGTATCCATTGGGATCTTCTGACATATAATTCTATGATTAATAAAATATGGAATGGAGTATAAATATACTTACTATGCTTTTATTTAGGTAGATAGAAAATTTAAGTAGCCGTTATCCCAGTATGCTGATCTGGAATTAAGTGAATTCAATAACTCCCATACAATTTTCAGTACAGGGACTATTTTCAATGAATTTATTATCAAACTGTACAATCTTGCGTGTGTATATGTTTGTATGTATGTCTGTGTGTATGATATTTAAGAAACTGTATATCCCGTGAAAAAAGTTAAACACATAAGGTAGGGTGAAAATGTACCATACTAGTCTGAAATGCGATCAGTTGATTATAATCATAGTTTAATATCAAGCTGTAAGATAAATTATTTCATATATTAAATAGTTTATAGAATGTATATACGAATGTAAAATTAATGTGTATATAATGAGATTTACTAGGCACATGCAAAAGTTGCATAGCCTGATGAGACGTTTGATAAGGTAGATTTTAATATCGTATAATATACCTATTGAATTAGAGTAATACATGGGATCATTGAAATAATACTAGAAACTGTTCATACTGAGAATAGTAATACTGGTAATAATAATAATAATAATAAGGGAAAGACACATAGGTGAAGTGAACAAGACGAAAAAGTAAATGAATGCTCACTAGTGGCTGGCCCTATTCAGGCAGTTAACCTGGGTTTCTAGTCGGAAGCTGTGACCAGTAGTGTACAGCCCGTGGAAGTTGAGGACAGTTACTCATTGAAAAAGACATTGCGAAGTGGTCGTGCGCTATGTCGTAAATTTGCAGAAATTAGAATTCATGCACTAGCCAATGGATCGAGTACCAGCGGCTTAATGGTCTACGAGTGAGCTCGCCTTGTAACCGGTATGTCCAGGGTTCTCAACCTATCGGTGGGCACGTGTTGCTGAAGAGTCCCAAACAAGGGTGACGAAACAGCTGGCTTTCCAATGGTTCTCTAGCTGATGTCAGTCAGCTCATGATGAAATCCTCCACCTGATCAAACAAAATTCCCTACAAAACCAATACTTGAAACGATTATTCCCTGCTCCAACTTTGTTTTTTGAAATTTTCGATTTAATTCCTTCGCGCTTCAAGCCTGAGCTATGACGTTTCAGCAGCAACAACTCCCCCCCTCGCCTCTAACCGGGGTTTACTATCGGCGAGGTTTAGGAGTGCCTCGTCAGTCGGGGATCGATCCCATCGACCACGTGAAGCGTCATGGTTGGCGGTGTGTGTGTGTGTGTTCTACCACTGAACCGCCAAAAAGAAATAAAGTGATTTGTAACCGGTATGCTAGTTGTGTCACTTTTCTCCGCTTGTTTATATTCTACCTGATTTCTAACAATAAACAGTAAACAGTGGAAAACAACAACAACGGATAAAAATAAGCCCATATGTTGTTGTTTAGTATGGTTTTGTTTATTTCTTATTCAATGTATTTTCTTTCTTTCTTTTTATTCATTGTTGCTTTGTTCTCTCCCTCCCTCTCTCTTACAGCTCATCATCCGTCAACATCTTTATCAACTATACAACCATCACATGTGGCATGTTAACTATAGTATAGTCTGTAATATTTGTTCTTTTTCTCTTTTGTATTTTTCCCCTTTTTTTGCTTCAAATGCGAATTACTGTGTAAATATTTTTTTGATTTTTTTTTAACTTTTATTTTTCTCTCTCTTCGGTTCGGTATTGTTATTATTATTATTATCATCGTCATCATCAGCATCATGTTCTTCGTCTTCTGATTTGTCTCGTGTTGTATTAGTCATCTTGTTTAACTTTCTTTTTTCTTTCTCTATTCAATGTTCAATAGGAGAGAAATTATCTTGTTTAAAATAATATCTCTTTCTATGTATGTATGTGCGCGCGCTTACATGTTTTAAATGAACGCACAGTTAATACTCTCCTTGCACATGTGTACTACTTTTGTGTGTGTGTGTGTATGTGTGCGTAGGTGTAGATGTGTTTTTAATTATTTCCTCAAATTGAGTTTACACACAATATGGGCGTGTGTGTGTGTGTGTGTGTATAAATCCTTACTGTCCTAGGCTGATTTAATGATTGTACACGTAAGCATTTCTAATCTACGTTGCTGCCGTTTCAGTCGCAATTGCCGCCATTTCTATCTTTTTGTCTTTTTTGTTGTTTGTTTATTGCCTATTTCAATTTTACAAAAATGAATAACACTCACTTACTCACTGAATCATTCGCCGACTAGGAAACTTTATGTATGTGAAGGCGAAGGACAAGAGAGACGGTGATAATGACGAATCATTCAGTATACATTTATTTATTTACATAAAGATACATGCGTCGTCGTGTGTGTAAGCCTTAGGTGTGTGTGTGTGTTTATTGCCGCATGTGTGTATATGATGATTTTTTGGTTTTCTAACATTATAGTTTAATTACTTTTAGTTTAGTTTATATTTTACCTTGATTTTTCTTCTTTTAATGGGTGATTTTTACAAAAAAATACTCTTTGATCTCCCTTGAAAAAAGGAACAGAGAGAGAGAGGCACTCAGAAATCGGTGTGGGCATTGGTAGGGGAACACCCCTGCCCCTCGCTTACTTCCACTTCACCTTGACCCCAACTCCCTCCACCCCCTCAAGATATCTGTGTCTCTCTCCTCTGTCTTTGCTTTTTTTTTGACTCTCGTAGTCATCATTACTAATATTACGTAATATTATGTTATTATTATTATCATCATTAATATATTATCAGTGATCTCTGTCAATCAATAATATTAATAATATTGTGGATAATAATATGACTCAATATTATTTGCTTACTTTACTTAATTACTTATTGCTTTCTAATTCCATGGTTTTTAATTTTTTTAAAATTAAAAAATCATTTTTTCCTAATTTTGTGTCATTTTTAAGCCTTTATTTATTTATTTTGTTTATAAATAGTTTATTTTTAATATCGATTTATCTCATGGTGTTTTCATCATTCTTTTCGGCGATGATGATGATAGTGATGACAAGAATATGAGGACAACACACAGTTGACACATACACCCCCCACGAGTCAACTGATGGATAAGATATGTCCGCATGTGGGATACTACTTCTGCACGTCTGTCCACACACCCACCCACTCACACTCACCAGGGGTACATACATACGTCTTATATTATTGATTCTTTTAATTGATTGATTGATGATTGCCGGATGAATGTTCCTTTTATTGACACTGCTGCTGCTGCTGCTGATACATCATTCACTGATCATTGTGATCCAGATCGAGATCATGGATTACTGATTACAATAGTTTATATAAAATGATATATATATATATATATATATATCCATATGATCCATGACTATTTTTATTTTGTGTTTCTTTTTGTTGTTGTTGTAGAAAAATGCATTCCACACTAACTCCCATTTCATTAGTGTTATTATTATTATTATTACTATTGAACACTTTTCTCCGCCTTTTTAGTCCTTATTTCAATATATGCTTATACGCATATTCATGTATTTTTATTGATCTTAGTTGTTGCTAGGCTCAAGTCGTCTTCTTTTTTTCTCAAGGCTAAATTTCGACTATTTTCTTTGTGTATTTTTCTTAGCCTCATTGTTTTAAATTAGTCACTTCTCTTAGCTTTGATGTCAGGTGGTGGGTTGTGTTTGTTTTTTCTCTCTCATGTATTTTGTGCTTTGCTCGCATGTGGTGTGGTAGTGGACATTGATGTTATGAGGATGCCTTCCTTTTTTCACTTGGCCAACACTTGCTTCTGTCTGTCTGTCTACCTACGTACACTACTGGCAAACACACACACACACGACAGACGTACAGATTTACATGCTGCTGTTAATAATTTCCTTTCTGTCTGTGTGTGTGTGTGAATACTGAATATTATGTATATTTTCCTCTTTTGTATCTGTAGCTTCTGCCTATATCTCCACTTCTATATTCATACTTATAAGTACTGCTCACAATTAGATTATTATCCGTGAGGGGGAGGAGGAGAAGGAGGATTGATGGATGCATTCGTGTGTCTGCCTGCATGCCTGTTGGTCTGTCTGTGTGCGTGTGTGTGTGTGTGAGTTTGTAAATGAGAATACGTCGAATGAGCTGAGCACAGATCTATCTATCTATCTATGAGTATCTGTATTGATGTAAATGTTTCTCTTCCGCCTCCTCCTGCTGCTCATGGATGCTTCTTTCGATCGACGACACCGACCACTACGAAGTGGGAAGCTAGCTTATCATTCGAAAATGACTTCATACACTTATTCTTTCATCATGTTTCACTACTCTCAATACTCTCTGTGCTACTACCGCGATGACTACTGCTCTCGTATTACTACTACTATTAGATGATTAGTAGCAGTATCATGATGGTCAGAAATTTACTTTTTTCTCTCTCTTCTTAATCAATATTACAATAAAGTTATCATCTATCATGTAATTCTTTTTGTATGTCTGACAATAAAAGGGAGGAGACGAAATACGTGTGGGAGACAACAAGGTAAATACGGATATACTATTACTGCTACGATTGCTCTTATGACGTAATATTAAATATTTCTATGTCTCTTTTTCTCTCTTTAAGTATTTCACATGCTCTCCGTTAATTTCTTCTTTCCCCCACCATCTTGTGCTTTTTTTTCAATATTTTCCTCTGAAAAATAAAAGAGAACATCATTTCTTTCTTTCCATTTTATTGACAATTACTTGATTCTCTGTATGTATGTTAGTTGGTATGTATGTGTCTATGTATGTATGTATGCACGGGTATATGTTTAGGTGCGTGCGTGCGGGTGTGTGTGCAACTGGTTGGCTCGTCGGCTGACTAGAAAAACCCCTCAACGATTATGCATATATATATATATATATATATATATATATATATATATATATATATACATGTACACATTATGAATAAAATTTATTATCAAGTGTTGTCGCTTTTCTTCTGTTCTTTTTGTTTGGACGGGTATATGTGTCTGCTTACGAGTAAACGGGAGAGCTCCAGGTGATAGTGGAGTAGTAGTAGCAGTAGTGTAACGACAGAAGACAAGGGCCAGGCAACAGATCGTTTATTGAGAAAACCAACAGATACTTATAGATTTATTATTTGCATTATTATTGGCGTTATTGTCAGTGGAGAAGCAACGTCTTCTGATTGGTTGTTTTCTTACTGAAGGTTATTCTGTCACCTCTTTGTTGCCGTTTCTTAGAAAGTTTAACCGTATCTCTGAGAATCGCGTTTGCACACGTTAAGTCTGCTGTGATTGATTGGCGAGTTCTTCAAGGTTAAGCTTTGTTATTGTGTTTTCTCATGACCCCGACTCGGGATGTAAACATTGACGTAAATTTAACTGGTGGATGGTGACTAGCAGTGGAATACAGGATACACATTTCGTCCTATTTGGGACTGGTCATCTGGATGTACATGCATTTCTCAGTGATTGATGATGTTCCCATCGAGGCCGAACCCAGTGCCCATAGTTTCAAACGCTAAAGCGGTATCCGCTAGACCACTTGGGCCACAAGAGCCACCTCTTGTGCATCGGGTCGTAATAATTCAACCTGAGACTGAGCACTTCGGTCCAATCGATCGACGGGAAAATCTAAAATGTTCAATTAAATTGACGTAAATTGTTGTCTACAATTTCGGCTTGCAGACAGCTCTCATCGCAGTAGTATATAAGCTTTTGTTTTGGACCATTTGTAGATAATTTAGTCAATACAAGTGATAATTAATTCTGTTTATTCTATGAGAGTAACACTAGGTATTAGTTGTGAGACGACTCTGTTGGATTGACAGTTACACAACATATAAAAAAAGCAAATTGAAAGGTTAAGGATTGTAATGAATTCGGGACGTGGTTCTGTCATCTGGCTGCTTGAGTGTTAGATTTGTTTAATGGTCTGAATTATGCACTGGGTTCGATCTCACTCCATATATATTAGGTCATATGTCGATTATTATTATATTTATTGTTTTCTTGGGTTCCGAGTGGAACAATGGTCCTCAGCAGCGCATCTTAATTCTGTCGTGCTCTTTGTAGTCCTTCTTAGCTGACTCCACAATTGCCGATGCGCTTTTACCTCCCCAGCAGTTACCCTCGAATCGACTCCCAACTCATCGTTTCTCATTCCACTCGAGTGACCGCTTGGCGCTTGATTTCACTCAACGGTCTTTTCACTGATACGTGTCCGATCCATCTCCACCATCTTTCAGTATATTTGTTCGCCTGGTTATATGTTGTTGGATGACTGGCTACAAGAGTTTATTGTTCTTAATCCTTTCATACTGATCATCTGATTTTCAAGATGTGATGCGTACTCCAAGTCTCTGAACTGCATAGAAGTACAAGCCAACTTGACATCTGTGTTGAAAATCCGAATTATTGTTCGTTATGCTTATAATACCGTAGATTTCTGCACTTTTCCGATCCTGGCTGACTTTGACACACTTATCTGTGTCATCACCTGTAGTTGAAACGATGCTGCCGGATCACTGGTAAATGAAAGAATTGATCTCCTTCAAATTTATCCTGTCGATTGCGATCGGTGATTGATGGTTGGTGTTG